ATATATATGTATATATATATATATATATATAGGAATTGTGCCAGAATGTAGCTGTGGGACCTTGCACACATGGCAGACAAAGTAATCTCTCCTGTGTTTTGTAAAGGCACAGGAGTGTAACTCAGGAAGTGTCTGATTATTGCCCCCAGAAACATCACATTGACAAGTTGCAGATTGCAACAACAAATACCTACAACTAATCAAGCTACAATCACAGGAATAAGAGAAAGAAAAGGAAAGTGGTGCAGCCTGCAACTACTCCCCCAGATCTGAGAGAAAAGGAAATACCAAGTTTATTAACAATCCATTTTTTCATAAAGGGATTAATGTAATTTCCCCTAATACAGCAGTGGTTATAAAAATGCCTGCTACAGTCTTGAGACTAATCTGTGGTGCTTGTTTTTTTATTTCCTGGAGCTGGAGCTTATGTTGTAGGGACCATTAACCCAGAGCTGTACAAGTATCCTGAAGACAAAAGTGAGACAGATTTTCCTGAAGGCAACATTGGCCGCCTCTGGTTCTCCATAGAGTATGAGCAAGAGTCCGAGAGGCTCCTCGTCTCCTTGATCAAAGTCAGAAAGCTGCAGCCTCCTGCCGATTCCTGTAGTCCATTTGTGAAAATCTACTTGCTGCCTGATGAAAGAAGCTACTTGCAGTCCAAAACAAAACGCAAAACTCTTAACCCACAGTTTGACGAAAACTTTGTTTTTCAGGTACTTTTCCTCTTGATTAAGCAGATTTTTGTTCGCAAATATTGCCTTGTCAAACCACAGTACATGTTTTGTGCAAATTAATTTTCTACAAACTTATACCAAGACACAAGTTGTTTCCACTGGAGAGAGGATTTATTACTGCGGCTTCCAGAGGTCCTGGGCTACTGAAGGCTGTAGCTCCAGAACTCCTCTTAGAATCATAGAATCATTAAGGTTGGAAAAGACCTCTAAGATCATCAAGTCCAACCATAATCCTACTTGTGGTCAGCACCAAAGTTACAGATTCCAGACCTTGCCCTGGGAATGATGAAAACTCCAGTGTGAACTACAGTAGAGCAGTTCGCTCCAGCATCTCTGCAAGCCCAGAAGAAATCAATCCTGAACTGCTGCTTTCATAGCTTTTTGCTGTGGAAGGAGGCCAGAAGCCAGAACTTGTGACATGTCTGCAATGCTATCTGCGTAATGCTGTAAAGCTGGGAGCTTGGCTCCTTATGCCAAAAGGCTTTCAGCAGGTGTCATAAGACAAAAGCTTTAAAACCAAAAGAGTTTGTGTTTCAGACAATTGAAAAATGAATGTTTACAGATTTCTAAACATTTGTGTCTGGAAGGGGATGCATCATGTAACGCTAGATCTGTATGAGCTGAATTACTGCCAGCTAACGTCACATTTTTCAAAAGAATTAATTCTATTTTAGCTTGGATCTTTAGACTTCTATATAGCTAAAACTTTAAGCAAATTAAGAAAGTAGACTTCCAATAATCAAAAGAAATCTTCACCTACCTTTAACACATTGTGAAAAACTCTTCATTTGGAATCATGCTAGAGCGGTAAGTGTAAAATATTTTAAAATTATTAATACATTCTTCCTTTTCCTATACAGGTTTCCAGTAAAATGTTGTTTCAAAGGACTCTAAAGTTTTTGGTTTATCATGTCGATAAACAGAAGAAGCATCATCTCCTAGGCCAAGTTATCTTCCCACTGAAAAGTGAAACATTAACTGCTGACAATAAGTCAGTCATATGGAGAGATCTGGAGAAAGAAAACTTGGAGGTAAGTTATAGGCTGCTTGGCATTGTGGAACTTCTGTTACCTTACGAGTACTCCAGGGGTACAGCTGAAATAGCAGTTTGTTGTATCAAATACACCAAATGCAAAAGTATTTGATAAACGTTTGGAATCAAAATTCTGATCTTTCCAGCCTGCTATTATATATATAGTATATAATATAGCTATATATTATATAGCTATATTATAT